GGTATGCAGCAATTGTCGTTCCTGGTCGCGCAATGGAAAGATCGATGTCTCAAGCACAGCTCAAGAAATGGTCTATGCCATGGGGCCCAGCGCTGACACACGGAGCGATAATCCAAGTGAGTCGGTGAAGGTTCATTCGAGCTACGGCTCGTTTACCATGGATCTGGTTCACGCCACAGGGGCCGGTGGTGTCCCGGTGATTAACGCCAGTGAGAACATCACATCTGTCGGCGCAGTGCAGCGATCAACGAAGTCTGGGTATTCGGATAGCAAAGCCATTCTCCATGCTGTATTCATGATACTCGCATTTGTAGGGATATGGCCTTTCGGTATATTGGTCTTACGAGTTGGTGGATCAGCCCGGTGGCACGCCATCAATCAGGTCGTGGCATTTGGGCTGGTTCTCATCGGCGCGATTCTTGGATTTGTCATCAGCACATCGTACAATAGGGTTAGTTCTCATCCGTTCCCTAGAATCGTGTCTTGGGAGCAAGTTCGACGATGTGGGAACAGGCTTGAACTTCTAGGATCTATTCACTAACCTCAGCGCCGCAGAGTAAGAAATTTAATACGCCGCACCAGATCATCGGTATCTTGGTCTTCATTTTTGTTATTGCCCAGCTCGTGCTAGGGTTCCTACACCATCGTATATATAAGAAGACACAGCAACCTACCAAGATTGCACCAATTCACGTGTGGCTTGGACGTCTGGTTATATTGCTTGGTATTGTAAATGGCTTTACGTTAGTACATCTATTCTCTTTTCTTGCCATATATTCCTAACACATACACAGTGGCTTCCCTCTTGCCCTGTCGCCAGGCTACGATTATGCCCTCCTCGGAGTAGTTTCCTTCGTGTTGCTCTCCTTCCTTACAATCTTAGTCATGGGCAAGGTCTTCAAATTGGTTCTTAAGAAGTCGAAACGCGAAGAAGAACCTACTGGGTATGATTTGGAACCTTGGCGCCGCGCTCAACCTGAAGTGCAACAACCACCGGCTGGTTACATAGTTGGAGATCCAGCGACACCAACTCGCTTAGGTGTTCCGCCGCAGGGAGCGAGGCAATTTGTATGAATGCGACACAGAACCGGTTGGGCCTTCTTCTCACTTATTATGTGGTTTTATTGCGCGGGGTACTGGCATGGTTCGGATAACAGGACAAGATATCGAATGGCGTTCAGGGGTGGGTTCCATTACTAACAAGTATACACGGCTGACGGTTGGAAAAGTAACGTGATGGGGTACCAATCGGTTTACATCTAGCCCTCTACTGGCGGGGCAGGTACAGATATGGGATATAGTCTCTTAATACTATTATTAAAGAGACCAGTTGTATAGTGTTGAGATAGTTCCTGACCATGTCTGCAAGGTAGGAGAGGTAAACCACGAACAGCTTAACGAACCCGAATGATCAGTCCAATAGCGTGGAGGCCTTGTAGAGATGCCGTAGGCAGCTGAGATACGAGGGGTTTTATTCATGGTACAGTTATGCAGGATATTCAGGCAAAATGCGTGGGGAGGTCCAGCCAGCTGATGGCGATCTCGCCCTATCGCACCTGTCGATCAACTAGAACCATGAACGTGGAGAAAACTGCTGATTGCCGACTTAGCTTCATGTTCATGAAGCCTTTAAAAGTAGAATCGTATCATTCATCGAGACTAGCAGTACGCCACGTTATATAGTCCGAAGGTATTGTTGGTTCGGAGAGTTCGACAAGATGGGCCCCTAGTCTATCGTCATTCTATCACTTAGGCTATATCACACCGAGTATGACGATTGAAGTTGCATTCACGGTATCAACTCCGAAAGCAACGTTAACATCTGCCAATAGCAATAACAGACATATAGACATATTCCCCGCAACCATGTCATGATAGATGCCTAGTAGACGCACGAGTATACAAGCTCGGAGCCTGCATGTATCCAGTGTTGTCGTAGTGCTACTCAATCAATAAATCTTACATACAATTGAGGGAGTTTCTTCTATTTAGGAACGGTTTCTCTAGCCACGTCTAATGAATCCAGAACATACTTCCAGTCATGTGAACTCACAGATTGCACATTCAATTTAGGCCATCTATACCTCTATCCCCTGCTTTTCTTCCAGTTCTATTCTGTACTCCGCATACGGAGGAATCCCGCCTACTAGCCGTACTCCATACCCGTGCCCGCCCAGACGACCGATCTAGATCTAGGTCTGTCCTCAATTACAACATCTCGGTCTGGGAGCAACCTCGTCACAGGCAAAATTGGTTGCACATGCATCAGTACTGACTTCGGTGTGCCTCGCTAATAGATACACCCGATAGTGCCGGGTCTTTGGACTTGCAATGGTCACCCGCACAACACGACGGTGTCATGGAATTACTATTATTAGCTTTTCATGGTGTTTCTCGATATTGGGTACAGAATTCATGTAACTCTCGTATTCAGAGTGCCCCAAAACATAAGTTCCGTGTATACCCTACAAAAATCGGGCGTGTTCCTGGCACGACGGAGATACGTAGCTTAGGAAGACGTTGTACACAAGATATCCCATTTCGGGCAAGGAAATCAGAATGGCTTCAAGAATTGCACGGCTCTGCCTATTGGCGGGATACTTGACTCTCCGAGCTTCTGCTGCGTGCAGTGTCTACGGCGTGGATTACTCCAATGGTGGCTCTTACAACATCGATACATCTTCTGACGAGTTATTCAGTTTCACTTCAATATTCCAAGGTACTGGATCAGCCGGCTTGAATACAGCTGAATTTATGTACTAAAATTCGTCAGGTTGCGTCCAGGAATCAGTAAAGCCTGCCCTAGTTGACCCAGCCGGGCACCAGTATACGTGCACTGCTATCAACACAACACCTGATGGTCAAGAGGCTACTTCAACATGGTGAGAGAAAATTTGACCTTCCTAGTTCTATTAAATCATAGATACTAAGTCCTGAGCAGCGCGATAGCTTACTCTTCCATGTCATCAGGCCAATGGAGAATCGTTATCTCCGGAGCAAACGTGGCCGTCCAGAGAGTGATCAATCTAACAAGCGTCGCACCCTCTACTGTGATTGTAACCGTAGGTGGTCTTCCAGAACCTTAATTCCCAAATATCTTAAGAACTAATGAACGGCAGGCTACTCCGACTGTGATTGTAGGGATCACAAGTACACCGAAAGCAACAAGTGTGTAGTCAACCACTATCACGACGCGGTGAACTCCCACTGATAATCACTTCACAGCCGTCTTCTCAACCATAGGAACACAGACACAAACTCTGATCTTGGCTCCCCCAACGATAACAACACCTTGCAGTGGATCGACAACGACAGTGACAGTGACGCCCACAAAGGCCACTGTCATTCTAACTTCAGTCGTAGTCCGCACGACAACTGACCAAACGGTTACCAAACAGTCCACAACCACGACAACAAAGACCGCTTATTGCCATTATACTTCATCGCGGCCATCCGATACAATCTGCGTCGGAAATGGCTGTGGCCTCCCGCCTGACCTACCTACCCCGACTGTCTGCATTGGGCCGTACTGTCGTCAACCGGCAGGTGAAACTGCCAGAGTGCCGGATACTCCGACAGTTAGTGCACAGGAAGTTGTCAAAGTCCTCATGGCCACCACGATCACCGTCACAGAGACGACGTATACCGTCACAAGCACCACTGTCACACTGCTCCCTACACCAACGACGACAGAGAATGGTATGTCATTAGCTTCTCCCCTTCTCCCTCCGGAATATCGGAATACTAACTGTTTCTATTAGTTATCAAGACTGTCACGGCCACGGTGTACGTTGAATTGCATTACATGTTCCCTACTCTCTACCTCGAGATACATATTTCCCCGTCTCTTCCTGCTATACTAATCTTGAACGTAGGACCCCTCAACCATCAATCGTCTGCAGCGGTGAAAAGCCCCGAGCCACGGTATCTCTCACTAGGCCTCAGGCTACGGTCACGCAAACTAGCCTGGCATATTCGACGAGCCACGTTACTGGCACAGTCACAGCCATGTATGTAAATTTATATTTATGAGTCCTTTTCTTTCTCTCTTGAGACGATTGGCGTCTTCCCTCTCTTTCCCAAACGCTAGTTCGTCAAGTCGAGCACGGTGACTTCGAAGAGATCTGCCAAAGTGTTAATTCCAAGTTTAATAACTAATTTATGACCATAGTTCAACCAAGACGACCGTGTCCACTAACTCTAAAAGCGCGACTAGTTGCTGGTTGAATGGAGGATGGATGGGAGCTGACTAGGATAATGGAAGAGTGCATGCGCGATGTTGAGCCCCGGGTGGTTTCGTGTCAGGGTCAATCTTAACGGGTAACAGTGAAGCGATAAAAGTCATGTTAAGCTCGACATGGTCTTTCTGTTTCTACGTTTAAAAAGATACCTTTGATAGGCTCTACGTGAATGGTATTACTTCGTCAAATTTGAAAACGTAGTACGGGGACCGATGAAGGGATTGAGAAGTGGTCACGTCGCAATCTAAGACTTGGTAAGCTGAGAGAATATGATTCCCTCCAGCTGGGGCTAAAAATGCAGTGCAATGTTGAAAATAGGCGGGCAACTAGAATAATTCTACAACATTACCTGCTTTGTAGAAACAGATACACAGTACAATCATTACGCATTCTTTCGTGGCACTATTTTTATATAGCAACTTATAACACCCAGGAATCTGAGTAGTTAGCTTGGGTAATTGAATATAGAGCTGCCGGCCCTTAGAACACACTCTATAGTAGCACCATCGACATCGAGCTAATTAGTTCTCATTTTTAGTTTCTATATGCACAACCCGTAAGTCCCAGTATTGCTATGTTGAACAGCAGCCGGCATTGAAATACGAAAGTCTGAATGATACTTCAAGTTGTTTTGTTTTCTCTTTGTCCTGGTCATTTTCAAGAATTAAGAATCCCTTTCGGCTGACTGGGTGTCGCTATTGCGTCTCAACGCCCGGGTCTCTCGTCAAGAAGCCAATTATTTCACAGGAATCCTGTACAAGTCGTATGGTCTAATGGTTATGATTTCTCGTTCACAGTGTATACTTGTGTCCACAAACCCGAGAAGGTTCCGTGTTCGATCCACGGTACGACTATAAACATGAATTATGTATCTTTTTTAAAACTTTTCCGTAGTTGGATCAGAGGTGAAGTAACTTTTTTATCCCTTTGAATTATTGTGTCTTCTTCAAGAGCGTGGTGGTGGTTGGAACTGATTCCTGTTACTTTTGCAAACTGGGCGCTGTAAAACAGGAGGTGCAGGCCGGCATGTACTCTAAAAATGGCGTGAGAAAATAGCTATAGAGGAAAAAAATCTGGATGCGGGATGAATAGAACTAGATTCAATCGGATATGCTAGCATTCCTGGGTTAAATATGGTATAGTTTTATCTTATTTGCCTATGGAAGTGAAAGTTATTAAGAGATTATTTGATACCTTTTTGTAGGCCGACAGATGTAAATAGGGTTGGAAGCGTCTTAATGTGGTCTTTTCATCAACAATACCGTTTTTAGCATGCCGGAATATGGGGAACTCTTATTTTCGCCAGTTGTTTTAGCAATTAAGGCAAGTTTTAGGGGGCATATTGAAAAGCCTGATAATTATGATCCAAACCACCACGAAGCGTTAAGACTATACCACCTCACAATGATGCCATATCGTTTGAATCTCTGCAAACCTGCGTCACGGAAATCATACCACGCCTGCACATCAGATAGAGGTAACTGCGACCATCATGGCGAGCTATATTAGCCCCTTGTTAGAATCATTCAAGGCAGTCGATTGAAAATTCATCTCCAAGAGCTAGATTAGATTTTTTGAATTCCATCTGTATTTATTTTATCGAAACATGATACGTCCGAGGACTCTATCAAGCCGATTCAGCATCACCGAATCTCTTCCCGAAGGCCAGCGTCCCTCCAACGAGCTTTCCCACGGTATATCCAGCGTAGATGCCACAAAGAATCGTCACGGGCCACTTCTGCCACTCGCGGTCCCAATCGAGCGGAATCGGCACAGCTCCAAGCCAAGCTCCTACACCTGCGCCAACTAGCCCACCAAAGCCTTCGTCAAAGGGGGCTGTAGCACTCAGGATCTCGATCCAGTCCTTACTGGAGACACCGCGCGTGTAGAACAGGGGATACAGCCCCAAAAGCGACAGATGGAGAGAACATAGAAAGGTATGCGAGAGGTGTGTCAGGAACGGGGCGCCAAAGAGCACCAACAGCATGTGTAGCGCCGCGGCGGAAACGATCGATAGTACAATAGCTACAATAGTTGTCTGCGATTTTATTTATATCTTGTCAGTTCCTGTTGTGGGTCCAACACCAGCAATGATATGGGAACTTACCACAGCGATATTTGGCCCGGCCGCCTCCGAGCCAGCCTTCTTCTTTTCCCCAGGCCTCAATTTCCTAAAGACCTTTACGCCCTGTGAACCGGCCGCGGGAAGGCAGACAATAGTGTATGCCACCTGCAGTGCTAGGACTATGGGCAGCGAGCTCTGCATCGTCGATACGGGGTCAGCTACCAGCGCGCGAAACCGTATAGCGAACAAGGCGAGGACAATAGCCGGGTGTGCATGGCGTAACGCCTGCGCTTCCGGAGACGGTATCGTTCGGACGGCTTGTGTCGGGTGATCTGTCTCTTTGGTATTCGCTGGCTCTTGGACTGCGAATGAGACAGTCTTCCTTGGAACTTGCGACATGATGGGGAGCTCTTGCGCAGTTTTCTATTATGGGAGATGTTTCGGTAAGGGGTATTAGGAGATAGTGCGGTTATGGCAAATCAAATGGCGGATGTGCACAATGTATTAAGTCGGCTTTCGTGTGGGCAGCTTTAATTGTTTTCAATGCTCATCCATGTTATTAAATTAAAGAATGGACTATGCGCATAGGAGCACATTACCTAGGTTAGGTGGTAAGCTTTGGAACACAAGTCATTCTTGGAGCACATCATGAAATTGACTTGGCTTTTAGCTCATATCGATAATCGATAAGCTGATACCAAAGCTCTCCCACCAACCCACCTTGAAGATGAGGAAAGTGACGACACACGATCCCCCTTCTAAATAGGTAAGCAGGATTTATTAACAAATTCAATGAATTTCCTATAGAATTTCCTATAGGATAGCCCTTAGCCATATGCTCCTAGTAGTTGTGCTGTAAAGAATCAGGCTATTAGAATCGGCCGCCTAGCCATGACCTTGAACAGTGCTAGATATCACCTGTCCGAGTAGTACCATTTCCGATCTCATGCAAGAGCTGGCAAGAACGCAACAGCTATGTGGTCAAAGATTGGGCCCTGCAAATCTACAAAATTTACTCGGCCTTGGGGAGTAGATTCCGTAGGGAGAGGTCGTAGATGACGTCCTCCACCTTCTTGACGTGATACTTAACAGCATCCACACGCTTGCGCACAATGTCGTTCTTGAGATTGAGTAGCTGAAAGCCTGCAAATAGGTCCTTGATGAAGCTGCTGATGCGCACCGTTAGCGCCACATCACCCATAGTCACTGAGTTCATGGCTAGGCGGCTGAGCTCTTCTGTGATATCGGTGAGTGCTAGCAGGTACTCTTCGATGGTGACGTGGAAGGAATCTCGGTCCTTGAGGTTGACAGGCACTGTAATATGATCCCGTTAATGAATACATTCCCGGATGTATAGATTGCCAATGATGTTATAGACTGTGGCATTACGTACCCTTCAGGATCTCCCCGATATCCTCAATTGTCAGAAGGCGGCCCAGCTCACCAGGTCGGGACTCAGTGCCCATGCCACCGAGCCAGGCTGTGAGGAGGATCGTGCCGACTACATTTTGAATGCTGCGGGTCCATCTGTGGTTGTACCTACTCCAAAGTCAGAATTTGTAGGGCGTAGTGGGTTTTCGAATATGGCATGCATACTTGTAATACGGGTACTTCGAGGCAAACTGGGCGAGTTCTCCCACGCCTTCGATCTCGGGCTGGACGCCGGTCTCTTCAACCTGCTTGAGCAGCGGCGCCACTAGCAGAACTATTAGCAACCAGAGACATAAAACAGCTTGTGTCATTGACATCGATAATACCTACATTTTGAGCTCGGCGTGGAGTGAATGCGGCTGAGGAGGCCTTGGCATGTCGAGATGCTACGGTTAAGAGCAGCAGAGATTTGATACAGTTTGTCACCAACCTCAATCTCCTCCTCACCGTGGGCCTTCAGATACTCAAAAATGGCAGGGTCGATCATGTTGGAACCGTTGTCGCTTGCCATGTTGACTTATCGAGATAAAAGTCAAAGTATGCAGAGTTGAAGTTTCACTGTGATGATGTTGGGTATGTTGGTTGGGTGGTTACCGAGCACTAGCAGGAACGAACTACATGCACTACGATTGACCTGGATATGAATGATACCTGACACTTAGATTCTTAAGCCATTGAAAAATTGGTATTATAACAATGGCGACGGGCTTGTGACAAACCCATGCAACATGGACTGAAATTTCCTATTGTAAGGCCAAATACTCCACCAAAACACTTGATAGGGTTTGATGATCCTGAAGCCTGAATGACAACTACAACTAAATTTTTGCAGGGGATGCCTATTCGACGTTTAAACGAGCCTCCGCTATCCTTTCCTGAAAACTACGCTTGATACTCGACATCTTCCTAGGTACCATACAGACATCTCTTCTTCACACCTACAGACAAGCTGTAGATTGCAATGAAAAGTGGTTCGCGTCGCCTGGAGGCAGTGTAATACCAGGGACACGGTGGGAGCGATCATGCGCAAGCACAGAGGACACGCTCCCGGGTGAAAAAAATTAGAATAATCACGATTGAATCCAAGTAGGACTCTTTCAGAGATTAAACTGAAAAGAACAGATACTACACTTGATCTAAGCCAAAAGGCAAAGAGAGCTAAAGAAGAAAGGAAAAAAACAGGCAAAAGCTGGGAGGAAGAGGCAGTATTTATAGACTTGGTGGAAGCCCACCAAGGCGGTGGGAGATGGCAGAAAGTGGGGTTTTCTTGTGGTCTGTGCACTGACCTGCTAAGGGCCCTACCCAATCAGAACGCTTCAGTGACAATACCAATACAAAATCCATTGTAGCCTAACGGTACTTAGGTACCCAGGTACCTTCTTTGACCGGGCCAAGTAAAACTGGTACGTACCCTCTCTGTGATTGCCACTACCGGTGCTCCTAACAATAACAATACCGCCCTACCAGGTAGGTATTGTTATCTATTCATTTGGGAAGTAGCAGAATGTTAATACACCGAAATCAAGATCACGCTTGAAGTACATCTTGTACTATGCCAATATTACCTGGTATTCTCCTCGGTATCAGTGGTGACTTGGGATATGAGCCCATCGTAGTCTGGTCTGCAGCAAACCAACAGCCCCCAAAATTGTTGCCTCTATAATTGGGTATATATTTCCTTCCTGTTTCTTTATCCTTATATTCGATACTATCATGTTCTTGATGTAGCACTCTACCTGTAAACTCAATAACTTTCCTGTGACAGCAGTCTTTGGAGGACCTGCATAGTACCTTAGGCTCAATTATCAGCTACCTAGGTATACTTCGTCAAGTTGTTCTAGGCATCGCCATGTCTAGTCGTGTATGATATGCCGGCGCTTTACAATATCGGGTGCTGATTACAACTATTTATTCTGACTTCATCCTCCAAGCATAGTTTTCAACAAGGTTGCAAAATTAGTTACTACTAGTATTTTTTTATTTTAAAGATTTCTAAATAACTTTATAAAGAAATTAAACATGAATAAATAAAATACACTATTTTAAAGCCCTTTTTAAAAAAAAAATTTAATAGTATGTTAGGTGCTTCCTGGGGTCTGAGTAGAATGTGTGTGTATTAAGTGTGAGATGTAGAAGAAAGGAAAAGCCAAGACTCTAGGTCTTGGAGAAAGATCTAATTATAGACATGTGTGCCAACTGCCTGGCAGCCGCCAGGCTGTCACAATAACTCAATGGCACAATGGCACAATGGCACACGCGCCACGGCGCGTGGGGATACACCCCTTATGGGGCCGTATCTGTTGGATTTCAGTGTATTGCGATCACGCCACGTGTTGTTGTGTAGCTCTATCTCCTATT